TACAACCAATCTTATTTTTCAGGAGCTGCAACTATGGAGGCTTGCGGGAGTAGTAGGAGTTCAACGGTTTTGTGAGTAGTTCGCTTAGTGTTTTGGGGTGGTTGGGTGGGATCGCCGGATTGTGACGATCTACTACTATATCTTGTACATATTTTTCTCTTTTCTATAAAGCTAAGGTACACCTTTGCCGTGCTCTCGAAAAAAGGTTGGTTCACTGGAATAGGGACCCTTGATATGTAAACCCAACATTTCGAACTTCAAATAGTGTAATCTTGGGGTAGCCTTTGCACAACATTTTGAATTTCCAGCAGTTAAAACCCAACACAAATTCACATCGAACAATTGTTAATCCGTTGGAGTAGAGCAGTGCTGTTTGAGTGCACCGTTGCTTCACATGCACGCGAACGCTACGGGCACTCCGCCGCGCCGTTCAAAGGCTGCCGGCTCTGCGCTGCAGTATTGCCTCATCTCATCTCTTCCCCGTTCAAAGGCTGCCTCATCTCTGCGCGCATTTCCCCTTCCGTCCCATAGCAAAAAGTTTTACGCGAAAGACAGTTGGTCGAACGCCTCGTCCTCCGCTTTGTCCATCCTCACCGTCGCGGTCTCCGCCACGGAACCGGATCCTCTAACATCAAGGAGGGAAGTCACCTAAGCTACAGTGCAAACTAGTGCAATGCAAAGAAGGAAAGTTAGAGTACTTTAGCGAATACTGTATGATCTACTGTAGCAGTACTGTGCGTGATTACTGTTTGACAAAAATAAATATAAAATTAATTTTATGCACTGTAATTTTGTTTGTATGTAATTTTTGTAAATTTATACAACAGATTTTGATTTGCAAATTAATTCAAGTCATTTTAGTCTTAATCATATGAATGTGAAGGAGAAAAGTTAGGGTATTGTAGCTTAGGTGACTTTCCTCCTTGATGTTAGAGGATCCGGTTCCCCACGCGACAGCATTCAAACTCGTAGTAGGAACAACCCGATCTCATCCACCCTCCCCCTACCCCAACTCCTAAAACCCTAGCCTGCCACCACCCCGTCCCCTACCCGTACCCACTACCGCTTCCCTCAGTCGCTCCCCGCCACCGCTCCAAGCCGAGAGCCGAGATGGCTTCCGCCTCGCCGTCGTGGGTCATCCTGGGCAGCGTGCCGCGGGTGTCGGCCGCCGACGCCGACCTCCCCCAGGGCGCCGACCTCTCCCTCGCGCTGCCGGCGGCCCCCCGCGTCGCGCTCCTCACCATCCCCCCGCGCATCTTCCCGGGCCGCACCACCTCCAGAAGCTTCCCGTCCGTCCTCGCCGTCGACGCCTCCGGCCTCCTCCTCCTCCACGCCGACCAAGGCCCCGCCAAGGGCCCCACCGTCATCGACCTCCCCAGCCGCCGCGAGTTCTTATGGCTCCCGACCGTCGCGGGCTACTTCCTCCTCGACGCCAAATCCGCCTCCGCGCTCCCGCTCCCCAACCCCGAGTACGTCATGCACCCGGGCCACCTCGGCCTCATCGCCTCCCCCGCCGACGCCGGCCACTACATGGTCGCTGAGCTCCAGATGATCCTCGGCGGCGACCGTGCCGACCTCCTCTGCTTCTCCTCCGAAGCCGGGGAATGGGTCACCAAGGACGTCCGCTACCCGCTTCCATCCCGCCCCTTGAGCCCCAACGGCGTGGTCTCGCACTCCGGGAGGCTCTGGTGGGTCGACCTCTCCTGGTGCCTCCTCACGTGCGACCCCTTCGCCGACGCGCCGGTGCTCAGGGTCGTCCCGCTTCCGGAGGGCAAGGCGCTCAAGTCCAAGGAAGCTTGGGGACTGCTCGACAAGTACCGCTGCGTGGCTGTCAGCGGCGCCAAGCTGCGGTTCGTGGATATGTACAGGAACCTTAACAGCGGCGGCTCTGTTCAGATCAGCGTCTGGACGCTCGCTGATCCGGACTCCACGGAGTGGACGCTGGAGTCTGAGGCCACCTTTGCGGAGATCTGGGACGACGCGAGCTACAAGGCGACTGGCCTGCCAAGGAAGATCCCCGTGCTTGCGCTCATCCATCCTACGAACCCCGACGTGGTCTACTTCTTTCTGGACGAGCACCTGTTCGGCGTGGACGTGCGTGCTCGCAAGGTTGTGGAGTGTGAGGTCTACGAGCTGGTTCAGCCACCTAGGGAACACGTCACCACCCGTTTCGTTCACGCTTGGCAGCTGCCACAAGCTCTCTGCTCAGGTAATTCTACCGTCCACTGTTCTTTGATTGAACGTACATTCTTGTTAGACTGGAAATATTGGGTTTCTGTGTAGATATCAGAGGTGTATGATGTATGATGTGGTGTCTGATTTTCTAACATCTCAGTTTTTTGTCGGAGAGAACATATGCAAACGTGTGGCTTCCTGAAATCCGTTATCTTTCCCTCTTTGTTTGTAGCACTACGCTTCAAGGTATTAGAATGTTTTTGTTTTGTAATATTATGAGAATGCTTGTACTCCACCATTACTGTAAAACTGAAGGTATATAGGAGTACGTGTCAGCTCCTTCACCGTTTATTTGGTCGACTTGCCATTACTGTAACAAAAGGTATATAGTCATGAATGAGCATAATGAAGCAGCTATTAAACATAAGAACAACCTAGTTTCTGTATTTGTCTAATGTCAGAAATCCATAGAAGCATTAGATGATCAAATGAACTGAGGCCTGTATCCCTTGCCTAACATAATATGCTGTCTGTCCTTTGAAGGTTCTGCAAAGGAGACTGAAGATGGCGTGAAAGAAGAGCTGCAGCAACTCCAGCTGTGAGACGAGATTGAGGAACGAGAACCAGAGTAAACTTCTTAACAGGTTACGCTCATTGAGTTGTACATTCCATCGACGGAATTTAGTGCCTTTAGCACACTACTCATGCAGCCTGGTGTATTAAAACTTCCTTTGTAATTTTCTGTTCCTTGGTCGCAGGTAGGGGAGTAATACAAGTTATCAGGTGGCAATGGCGTCTTTTGGACAGCACTCGACTCAACGAAATTGGCAACATGGCTGAAACATTTTGCTTGTTTTTCTTGTTATTATTGTGTAAGTTCAGATGTTAGTAGTGCGGTTTCTATGCTTGGATACTTGATCCACCGTCATGGTTCAGAACTGAAGTGATTATCCTTGGCAGCAAGGCATTAAGCTCTTGTTATGCTTCTGGCTCTTGTTAACTTTGTCAATCCATGCTCCTGCTTGGTTCGAAAAAATACTTGAAAAATGTCTTAATCTGTTTTTCATTTTTGGACTAGGATAGTATGTATTTTTTGTATTATCTGCAAAATCACCATAAGTTTTTTTCCTTTTGAACATCGTTTTTACCTAGTATTCGTACTCAGAAATAATGTTTACATAGATAGCATTTTTTCCGATGGGCTGGTTGATCGATGAAGGTGATATGATGTCGACATGGAATTATTTTTTTGGCATGATCACAACAATAAATTAATTGACTCCTTAGAAATATGTAAGCAGCTCGGTCATTTGTACTAAGCCAAGATGTTGGGTGTGTAATATAGGAAAATAAAAATTTAGATAGCAAATAGATCACTCATTTGTACTTGAATTGGATTAGTACACTGAAATCAAGTCGGGATCACCAAAATCAAGTCATTTGTACTAAGCCGAGTTTCTAAGTTGTTTTTACATGATACAACGTCATTGCAAAACTGAAGTTCGTATCATGTTTATACATTTGCGTGTATGACAATTTTGAAAAGGATTCCTGAAATGTTTTTTTTCTCGCAGACCAATTTAAAGGGTTAGTCCATTTTCCTGTTGATCGTGGGAACTTTTATGCCTTTTCCTTTTGGACAATTTTCTTTTTTGCGGTGTGGACAATATTTTCTTGCACCTAGATGGTGCACATTGGAATCAACGGAACACGGGCCTCTATGCTAAGTTACAGGAACCCAAAGCCTCTATTCTTCGGAGTGATATACCAAAACTTATAATTTTCCCCAACCAAGTTTGTTTTTCCGTCGGATGTACAAAGCCAGGAAGCGACCGTGCATTTCACCCGTGTCTGTGTGCCAACTGCCACGGGACGTCTGGCACAGTGCAAGCGTCCCCGTTTCCATGATCGCGCCCGCGCCCCGAAGGCGACCTGCTCTGCTCCCTTCGTATCACCCGGACTGCAACCGCCAAGATGGCAGAAGATACTACGAGTACTACAGCAGTCAAAGCGCCTGTCAAACAACATCCCGTCCTTCTTTGCTTTACTGTAGCCTGTAGGCACTTTCCGACGAGCAGGATGAGCTTTTGATTTGAGGGATAATGAAGAGTCTGCAGCCTTGCAACTCTTGCTCCTGCCATTGATCGGAACTCCGGTGCTTGCCACGCTACAAAGGCTGCTACGGTGCTGCCCCCAGCTCTGCCCTCCACAGCAGCGCCGCTTGCCTCGCTTGCCAATCCTCCCACAAAACACTGACCCCCGTCGCAGTTCACCGTCACCAAATGGCATCCGCGCGGTCCATTCCCCGAGCCGCCCGCTGCTTGATCCTCTTCGCTCCCATAGTCCCCGTCGTCGCCGCGGTCACCGTTCACCAGTCCAACGCCACAGCACGCGCACGCCAGATCGAGCGAGCCGCGTCGCTGCCCTGGGCCATCCTCGGCAGCGTGCCGCGGGTGGCGGCCGCCGACGCCGACCTCCTTGCGGGCGCCGACCACTCCCTCGCGCTGCCGCCGCCCCCGCGCGTCGGGCTCCTCACCATACCCCCGCGCATCTTCGCCGACCGCACCACCTCCGACAACTTCCCCTCCGTCCTCGCCGTCGACCCCTCCGGCCTCCTCCTCCTCCACGCCAACCAGGGCCGCGCCACGGGCCCCACCGTCATCAACACCCCCAGCCTTCGCGACTTCAGCTGGCGCCCGTTCGCCCCGGGCTACTTCGTCCTCGACGCCACCACCGCCTCCGCCCTCCCGCTCCCGAAACCTGAGCTCATCATGCACATGGGTCACGTCGGCCTCATCTCCTCCCCGGCGGGTGGCGGCCACTACATGGTCGCCGAGCTCCAGCCGTTCGTCGGCGGTGACAAGGCCATCCTCCTGCGCTTCTCGTCGGAAGTCGGAGAGTGGGTCAGCAAGTACGTCGGCTACCCGCTTCCTGCCAGGATTCTGTGCCCCAACCGCGTGGTCTCGCACGCCGGGAGGCTCTGGTGGGTCGACCTCTCCTGGTGCCTCCTCACCTGCCACCCCTTCGAGGACGCGCCGGTGCTGAGAGTCGTCCCGCTGCCGGAGGGCAAGGCGCTCAAGCCCAGGGAAGCTTGGGGATTGCTTGACAAGTACCGATGCGTACGTGTCAGCGCCGGCAAGCTGCGGTTCGTGGACATGTACTCCAGGAACCGTGACAGCCGCGGCGCTACACAGATCAGCGTCTGGACGCTCGCCGATCCTGACACCACGGAGTGGACGCTGGAGTATGAGGCCACCTTTAAGGAGATCTGGGACGACGCGAGCTACAAGGCGACTGGTCTGCCCAGGAAGATCCCCGTGCTTGCGCTCATCCACCCCACCAACCCGGACGTGGTCTACTTCTTCCTCGACGAGCATCTGCTCGGTGTCAACGTGCGTGCTCGCAAGGTTGTGGAGTGTGAGGTCTACGAGCTGGTTGCACCGCCTAGCGAGCACGTCGTCACCCGTTTCATTCACGCTTGGCAGCTGCCACCGGCTCTCTGCTCAGGTAACCGTAATTCTACTGTCTTTTTTCGTTGATTGTAGATTCTTGTTATTTATCTAGTGATTGGAAATGGTGTGCTTATGTGCAACATTGGAGAGATCAGATATGTTATCTGTATGATGTAACATCTCAGTTGTGGGAGAGAGCATATGCAAATGTTCAACTTTCAGGCTATGTATGTACGCTTAGCTTGTTATTAGTAATGCTGCAGGGAGGGCTTATGTTTAATAAGTGTAAGGGTGATGAGGACATCAATACAATTGTTACACCCACAGCCCCTGCTGCTATACATACTGGACCAATTACTAGAGCTCGTGCACGCCAACTAAATTACCAGGTACTTTCGTTTCTTGGTAATGATTCTAATGTTCATGAGAATATGATGCTGCCTAAATTGGATACATTTGTTTTGCTTACAAATGAAGGGCCTAGCTTGGAGAATGATGAACATTGGAGCAAGAACAAGTATGGAGATGATGGCATGCGCAAGGGGAACAAGAACGGAGTTACAAGTGATGATTTCAGGACTTTGAAGCCACCATAATGGATGCATGAAGCCTTGGACGAAATATACAAGATGCCACTTCATAAATTTCGTCCCGAGACTATTTTAGGTGCTGCGTCACCTTATTATTGGGCCAAGCCCATGTAATTTCGAAATACATAAGTATAGGCTATTTTTAGAGTCCGTATGTGTGGGGAAACAAGAGATAGGGTTGATTTCGGACCCCTCCACCAAGGGCCACGAAATTCCCCCCTCTTCCTCCATATATACAGCCCTTAGGGCATCGTTTAGACTTTGGGTTTTGTTTAGATTAAAAGTTCGCCATAGCTGCAACTTCGCGTACTTCGTTTGTGTTCAACGACCAGACAAAGGCGTCACAGAACCCCACCTTGATAAATAAAGCTTTCATCTTATATTCGCAATATCCAGATTGCAATCTTAGTTTCTTGCTTGTTCTTCGTTTGCTCGCAGGAAACAGACCCTCGTGGTCAGGTTGATCGTGCCCCGGCGTGGTCAATAACCTCTCGGAGTTGGTTTAGCGATTGCTAAGGCGCGACGTCCTCACACGTTCGTAGTCGGATCGTCAAAGTCGACTTCCACCAAAGCGAAATCCACCATCTCATCGAAAGACGGGACACCTTTGCCTCTATCAAGTGGTATCAGAGCAGTTTCCAGTTTTTGGGTCCGGGCAGTCGAAAAAAAAAATTTGTCGAAAAAAAAAATTTCGTGCCCATCCTGTCAGTTTGACCTAGGAAGAGTTTTGAGACACTCGCCATTATCGTGCTTTTTCGCAAAAAAAAAGCAGCGCAAAAAAAGAGCGCAAAAAAAAAGAGAGCGAAAAGAAAAAATTTCAGAGTGTGCTTTTCCCTTGTTTACGTGCCGCGCCGTGATTTTGTTGGTGTTCTAGGCTCGCGTCTCTAGCACAGTCTAGCCTAGGACCAGCACAGTACCGTCGTTGAGCGTTTATTCAACTTTGCATCTCTGAATTGATTATTGCTGACCCTTTTTGCTAGCATACTATAAGCCTTCCCAGCTCCACATACATCTACGTCGTGTGTTTGACTCTTCCTGGTAATCGCTCTATCCAAGCTTTGAGAGTTTTTGACTACAACGGTTGCCGATCACCGCCTGCTGCTGGGTAAGAACTGGTAAGAATTTGAGATTTGCTTGACGGATTTGTGATACACCACCACCACTTCTTAGTAGTTTGTAGGATCATATTCTTGTGTGTTTCTATTGCTGCTAACCATGCCAGGATCACAAGCCGACGAGATTGACTAGGAGAACTTATTGAACAAGGAGCTTCATGATAAGTTTCAGCAAATGATGACTGAACAGGTGCAAGATGTGCTGAACAATTTTGAAGAGGCTATGGAGAAGATTACTGGCCTTGAGAAGACGTTCGAAACAAAGCTCGATAACAGATTTAATGAACTACTTGCGCGTCTTCCACCACCGGCTGCACCTGTCGCACCTCTGCAACAACAACAACTACGCCCCCTTCCGAATCAGTATGGACGAGCACAGCGTGTTCCTATTGAGCGAGGACAAAATTCTGGTGCCGCTGCTACTGCTGTTGGTGCTTCTTTGGCTCCTGCTACTGCTGCTGCTGGTACCCAGGAGGATGATGATTATGTGGGAGATTATGAGGATGAGGTTGATCAAAATCCGAACTACGTGCAGCCACCAGCACCACCACCACCAGGTCGACCTCAGGTATATATTCGTAATGGTAGGCCTGCACCACCACCTCAGGTACGAGATGATGTCCATATTCCTAAACTGAAATTGAATATTCCACCATTTGAGGGTAGATATGTTTCTGATATATATCTTACTTGGGAGTTAGAAACTGAACAACGATTTACATGTTTACAATATCCTGAGGAGAGACGAGTTGCTGCTGCTGTTTGTGCTTTCACTAGTTTTGCATGTGTATGGTGGTCTGAACATTGTAGATTATATCCTATTCCAACTACTTGGGCTGCTTTGAAAACTGCTATGCGTACGCGTTGGGTTCCACCATATTATCAACGTGAATTGCTTCAAAAATTGCAGCGTTTAAGACAAGGGAAAAATTCTGTAGAAGAATATTATCAGGAATTACAAACTGGCATGATTAGATGTGGTATTGTTGAGGAGAATGAAGCTATGCTTGCACGTTTTCTGGGTGGATTAAATAGAGAGATTCAGACCATTCTAGACTATAAGGAGTATACTAATATCACTCGTTTATTCCATCTTGCTTGTAAAGCTGAACGTGAAGTGCAGGATCGACAAGCATTGGGGCGAACTAACTTTTCTGCAGGCCGACCTTCATCATGGACACCACGTGTGATAGAGGCAAAGGTGTCCCGTCTTTCGATGAGATGTGGATTTCGCTTTGGTGGAAGTCGACTTTGACGATCCGACTACGAACGTGCGAGGACGTCGCGCCTTAGCAATCGCTAAACCAACTCCGAGAGGTTATTGACCACGCCGGAGCACGATCAACCTGACCACGAGGGTCTGTTTCCTGCGAGCAAACGAAGAACAAGCAAGAAACTAAGATTGCAATCTGGATATTGCGAATATAAGATGAAAGCTTTATTGATCAAGGTGGGGTTCTGTGACGCCTTTGTCTGGTCGTTGAACACAAACGAAGTACGCGAAGTTGCAGCTATGGCGAACTTTTAATCTAAACAAAACCCAAAGTCTAAACGATGCCCTAAGGGCTGTATATATGGAGGAAGAGGGGGGAATTTCGTGGCCCTTGGTGGAGGGGTCCGAAATCAACCCTATCTCTTGTTTACCCACACATACGGACTCTAAAAATAGCCTATACTTATGTATTTCGAAATTACATGGGCCTGGCCCAATAATAAGGTGACGCAGCACCTAAAATAGCCTCGGGACGAAATTTATGAAGTGACATCTTGTATATTTCGTCCAAGGCTTCATGCACCCATTATGGTGGCTTCAAAGTCCTGAAATCATCACTTGTAACTCCGTTCTTGTTTCCCTTGCGCATGCCATCATCTCCATGCTTGTTCTTGCTCCAATGTTCATCCTTCTCCAAGCTAGGCCCTTCATTTGTAAGCAAAACAAATGTATCCAATTTAGGCAGCATCATATTCTCATGAACATTAGAATCATTACCAAGAAACGAAAGTACCTGGTAATTTAGTTGGCGTGCACGAGCTCTAGTAATTGGTCCAGTATGTATAGCAGCAGGGGCTGTGGGTGTAACAATTGTATTGATGTCCTCATCAGATTATGAGGATGAGGTTGATCAAAATCAGCACTACGTGCAGCCACCTGCACCACCACCAGCAGGTCGACCTCAGGTATATATTCGTAATGGTAGGCCTGCACCACCACCTCAGGTACGAGATGATGTCCATATTCCTAAACTGAAATTGAATATTCCACCATTTGAGGGTAGATATGTTCCTGATATATATCTTACTTGGGAGTTAGAAACTGAACAACGATTTACATGTTTACAATATCCTGAGGAGAGACGAGTTGCTGCTGCTGTTTGTGCTTTCACTAGTTTTGCATGTGTATGGTGGTCTGAACATTGTAGATTATATCCTATTCCAACTACTTGGGCTGCTTTGAAAACTGCTATGCGTACGCGTTGGGTTCCACCATATTATCAACATGAATTGCTTCAAAAATTGCAGCGTTTAAGACAAGGGAAAAATTCTGTAGAAGAATATTATCAGGAATTACAAACTGGCATGATTAGATGTGGTATTGTCGAGGAGAATGAAGCTATGCTTGCACGTTTTCTGAGTGGATTAAATAAAGAGATTCAGACCATTCTAGACTATAAGGAGTATACTAATATCACTCGTTTATTCCATCTTGCTTGTAAAGCTGAACGTGAAGTGCAGGATCGACAAGCATTGGGGCGAACTAACTTTTCTGCAGGCCGACCTTCATCATGGACACCACGTGCATCTTCTACTTCAACTGCACCAGCACCTCCATCCGGTGCCACCTCCAGCCGTGATACAAGAAAACAGGCACAACCACCATTATCTGCCAAGAGCGCACCTGCGGAGCCTGCACAGCGTTCTTCTTCTTCCATGGCATCAACAGGGCACACAAGTGATATTATTTGTCGTCGTTGTAAGGGAGGAGGTCATTATGCGAGGGAATGCAAATCTCCGCGTGTGATGATTGCTACCGCGGATGGTGGATATGAGTCCGCTAGTGACTATGATGAGGAGACATTGGCTCTTATTACACGTGAAGAACATGGTGGAGATGATTCTGATCATGAGACGCAATACATGGCTCCTGAAGACGCTGACATGCATGAATGTTTAGTTGCTGAACGTGTTTTGAGTGTGCAGGTCACACAAGCTGAGCAAAATCAGAGGCACAATTTGTTCCATACCAAGGGAGTTGTGAAGGAACGTTCTGTGCGCGTCATAATAGACGGAGGGAGCTGCAACAACTTGGCTAGCATGGAGATGGTGGAGAAGCTTTCTCTCACCACAAGACCACATCCACATCCTTACTACATCCAATGGTTCA